TGGGTATGGAGCCAGCTGTGTAGAAGGAGGATGAATGAGGAGGGGCATAAATCATAAAGAAAAGGTGCGAGGCAAAACAGTAACAACACAGGTTGGAGGTCTGGTGTTGGCACCTGTTCTTGTTCAGATGCCCCAGGCTGGGACTTCTTGGAAGTGGCAGGAAGTTCCAGTTCTCTGCCATTCATCAGCAGGGGTGAAACCTGTGGTCAAGGGAATGTCTAGTTCTGTAACAGGGAAAATGACTTGAGCCTAGGGGAGGGCTCAAGGATGTGATTGATTTTGTGTGATTGGACTTTAATTTGGACAAATGCCATACTAGTCTACCAAAAGGGAAAATGAACAACAAAATTAACCTACCACAAATAAAAGACTATAGTGGATTGTCCCTTCTAGCAGTAGACAGACTCATCTTCTTTTTATGGGAGGTTAATTTTGTGGTTCGTTTTCCCTTTTGTGAAATAAGCTTCACAGGGAAAATGAGTCACGGACACATCTAGTTTTGTTGCAGCACATCATTTGTGCCACCAATTAGCAATGTCCCCTTCCTGTGTGCCACTTTGATCCCCTTCCACTGCCTCATCATAAAATCATAGAGAAGTAGGGCTGGAAGGGAACTCCAGAGGTCATGTAGTCCAACCCCCTGCCTGAGGCAGGATCATCCCTGTCCAAACCATCCTTATACAAGTCCACTGTCTAACCTCTTAGCAAAACTGCAGTCAATCCTGGCACAACACAAGACATAACACCTTAACCTGCCGCAAGTAAAGCAAAAGGGCCACCATGGAGTGGCCAACATCGTGCTGCTATAAAAGTTGTTAATATGTACTCAAGAGATCCTAGGTAAAGGGATGTGCCCCCTCCTACAGAGGAAGGCAAAAACCCCAGTCTAACCAAATGGTAAAATTCCTTCCTGATCCCAAATGTGACCGTCAGTCTGACTCCTTCTGAGCAGAGGGACAAGACCCGGGGTGGGCAGATATTTTGGGCAGAGGGCCACTTACTGAGTTTTGGCAAGCCATCGAGGGCCGCATTACAGGCAGCCAGGGGCAGATCAATATTAATTTTCTAAATTTTTTAGGGGCCCTGCAGTCCGGATAGATTGGACTGGCAGGCCCCATGCAGCCTGCGGGCTGCATTGTGCCCACCCCTGGGCAAGACCCTCTAGCCAGGAACCTCAGGTTTTAAGTTTCAGCAGGAATATTGGCACACCCCAGTAACAATCCCCAGCCTTGGCTGGAGCCAGCACCCAGTGCGTCTGAGGAAGGCTTAAAAAACCCCTAAAATGTAGCTGTAGGGTGGGGTGGGGGGGTGAAATTCCCTTCCAGCTCCATGTGGCAACCAGAAAAGCCTAGAAACATGGGAAATAGTCATAGTAGAATATAGGCATGGCTACAGCTAGATTATCCCCAACTAGTGGCTGTCCAACCTCTTCTTGAGCCCCTCTAGTGATGGAGAACACCCCTACGCAGTCTATTCCACTGCCTCACTGTTCTAACAGGAAAAGTTTTTTTCCTTATATCCAATCAAAACCTACATTGCTGCAACTTCAGGCCATTGGTCTGCGTCCTGCTCTGTGCAGCAAGAAAGAAAAGATGTTTACCCTCTTTATAGCAGCACTTGAAGTATTTGAAACTGCTATCATGTCTGTTCTTACGTACCTTTTCCAGAAGCTGAAAATGCCTATTTTGTTCATCTTCTCTTTGTAATACTTGCCTTCTAAGCCCTTTATCATTTTTGTTGCTTCCCCCTGAACCCTCTCTAACTTCTCCATGTCCTTTTTAAAATGTGCAGCCCCAAACTGCACACAATACTCTAGATGAGGCCAGTGCAGAGTAGAGAGGTACTGTCACCTCCTGTGTCTTGCACCTAATATTTCTGTTGATATATCCCAAAACCACATTTGCCTTTTGGGCAGCTGCAACACACTGCAGACTTGTATTGAGTCTGTGATCTACCAAGACTCACAGGCCGCATTACGGGAGATTCTTCTCCACGGTGCTGCCACCCAGACAGGTGTCACCCATTTTGTATTTCTGATTATTTTTCCAAGTATAGCACCTTGCATTTGTCAGCATTGGATGTCATCTTGACAGCTCCAGCCCTGTTTTTCAGTCTGTCAGGATCCTTCTGAATTGCATTCTCGTCCTCCAGCATGTCCTGTTACTCTATTTTCTGCTTTCTTCCCTGTGCTCCCTGCGTAATCTGCTACTTTGCTTCCTGTCCTATTTACCCCTGAGCCCCCTGCTCCCTCCTTGATTTCCCGCATGCCACACCTGGAGGCTGCCTGTGCTTTTGTGTCACCTGTACTGAAGGTTGTTCAGCTACATGAACATGGAAAACAGACTTTATACCCTTTGATGTGATGTTGCATTTCAACTGTTGTGTGTGACTTGCAGATAAAGCCAAGCCAAAGGCCAAGAAGAAGGAAGAACCAAGTTCTATTTTCCAGAGGCAGCGGGTGGATGCTTTGCTTCTTGACCTGAGACAAAAGTTTCCACCCAGATTTGTTCAGGTACTGTAATAGTAACTTGTGCCCTCAGTGTTGCTTCAGCTGAAATGTTTGTACACATCCAAGCAGCTGAGGTGGATAGCTGGTGGGACTTCACAGCTTTGTAAAACTGTAGCATTTATTTTTCAAAATTCCTGTTCTAAAAATGGGTACTATTAAGGCAGATTCTCCCCACCTAGTGCAGGAGAGACCCAAAAATATATTGTAGCATTGCCAAATTTCCTGGAAAAGTGACTACCCTGGAAGGCTGAGGGTGTACCCTGTCAGCTATCCAAACCTGCTGCTGCCTCTGTTTTACCACTTCTTTAGCCAAAGAAAACTGGTAAAAGCAATGCCTTCACTTTGGTTTCTTACTTTGTGGACTGATAATATGAAACAACAGTTCAATTAGAAATTCCCAGCCTTCTACAAGCTTATTAGTTTGCATACCCTTCATAGGTTCAGCAGTAAATTACACCCAAGAGTTCTGGCTCTGTCACTTGCTGCAGATAGCTCTAGACCAGTGGTTTTCAACTTATGGTCTCCGGATCCCCGGTGGAGTCGGTGGACCATGGTTGGGGGGGTGTGACTTTGATCAATCAAACTTATGTAAATACACCACACTTACAGTTCAAGTGGGTCTGCGCCTCCATTCAAAATTTCCAAAGGAGTCTGTGGCTCTGTCCATAATTTTCTAGGGGTCCACAAATGAAAAAAGGTTGAAAACTACTGCTGTAGACAGACACTTACCTCTGGCTAGCACAAAGGAACTTTTCCCCAGTAGACTTTGGTCTCATATAATAGTCTTTTACCCCAAACCTCTTGCCTGGAGGTTAAGGGATATTTTTGTGTTCAGCAGCTCGCACAGTCCTTTGCTTCTTTGGGTCTTGCCTTAAACCCAATTGACTTGGGCTGTTCCTTCTATATATCAGTGTGCTCCAATCATGTGACCTTTCCTTCTTGGGGTGATGGGTTAATTGTAGCAGTTGAACCCCAACCTCTTTAAATGACTAGCTCATGCTCTGACACTATTTAAAAATGTACTCACCCAACTTCCATGATAACTGATGCTGCAAAAATGAATGGAGTTTTATTTTCTAGGTTTAAAAGTATTTGCCCTTTGCAAGTAGAACTTCTGCAGTGCAGGCGGTATGTGTACAGCTGGACACAGAACACACAAATGCTAACATTAAAATACAATTTTAAATCTAAAGTTGGTCCTGGGCACTTCTTGCAAACCAGAGCTTATTGATCTTATATTCTGAAAGAAATCCAGTGTCAGTAGATTTCTCCATATAGTTATGAGACATCTTAAACTTATTTAACCTCAAGAGGGTCCACTGGAGGGCCACGCATATGGTTAAGGGTTTACAGGCCAGGCCCTATGAGAAGAGACTAAGGGACCTGGACCTCTTCAGCCTCTGTAAGAGAAGGCTGAGAGGTGATTTTGTGGCCACCTACAAATTCATTAGGGAGGCACAGCATGGAACCAGAGATGCTCTGTTCACCAGGGTGCCTCTTGGGGTAACAAGGAGCAATGGTCACAAACTGACAGAGAGCAGAGTTAGGCTAGATATCAGGAAAAGCTTCTTCATGGTAAGGGTGGCCAAATCTTGTACTGGGCTTCCAGGGGAGGTAGTGTTCTCCCCTACCTTTGGGGTCTTTAAGAGAAGGCTGGATAGGCATCTGGCTGGGGTCATCTGACCCCAGCACTCTTTCCTGCCTACGCAGGGGGTCAGTCTCAATGATCTTTCAAGGTCCCTTCCAACCCTAGCATCTGTGAATCTTTCTTTGAGAAAGTTATGAGAGAACTTCTTTCTTTCCTTTCCTACTCTGAGCATTGGCACATAGTATGTTAGAAGAAGCTGCATTTAATTTGTTGGTTAAGTCATTCCTATAAATAAGTCTGGGATCTTATGGAATGAAATGTCATATGGAGACATTTAGGTGCAACCTGGGTACTGCTAGCAATAATGCTGCAGCAGCATGCAATTCAGTGTGGGCTGTACACATCTGTCCAGGACCTCACATACTTTCTTGTGTGACTATTCCACACTGAGCTGTGCCACCAGAGCTTTGCTACTGTTGGTGCCAGAGCTATAATTAGTTCAGGTGTGTCTGAGTGTGTTGCACTTGCAGTCAGATTGCAATGTAGACTCAGCTAAGGGGTGGAAAGGTCTCATAATTTGTCTAAGGTAAACTGCAAGCTCCAGCCAGTCATGAGGCAGGGTTCTGTTTTGCCTATTGATCTGCTGACTTAGGCAGGCCTTTCACTGAGGATCAGTCTTCTGTGCCTCTGTACTTCCCCTGTTGACATTGTAGTAGCAAATACCAAACAGTGCTCCCAAATGATTCTAAAGTTATAACCAGCAGTGGAGCACAGATGAGAGAGGAAATGTACATAGTACATTTCTTATCTATAAAATACATATTTTAAAAGTCCACAGATGATCTGTTGTTTTCACATATTTTGCTGCTATTTTGTCTTCACACACAGTCACGCCTACTCCTAATTTTTAACTAATGATTGTAAAACATTTTGGAACACTAAGAGAAGCACAATAACCAATCAGATTCTAATCTGTTTCAAAATGCAAACATCATTAGAAATGTTGCCTGAGAAAAATTGCAAAAAACCATGGCATTTCCATCTAGCACACATCAGACAAGTAAGATTTTTCCCAGGCATATGCCTGACTCCTCCTAACACAAGCAGTTCTGCTGGGTCCCAGTTGCAGGTTTACCACCTGGGCTAAAAGGCAAGAACAAGTTAAATGGACCTAACTCCTTTCCAGTTTACTCTTCTGTTTGTTGCAAAATGTGTCTATCCTGGGATTTATAGGCTGTATGAGGCCTATTTTACAGGCAAGGAAAATACTAATTACAATTCTTTGTGTGTACGTGCTATTGTATTCACCTTTTAGAACTCAAATAGTACTTTTTGAAGAAATGCTCTGTCACTTTTTTTTTCCAGGTAATTAGTTTGATATCCCCCATTCCTCATTGGCATTCCCTGGCTTGTATCTTCATAGTGATAATATTCAACAGAAGCTAAAATTTTAGTCAGCCATAGCAAAGAATAATAATGATAAAGGTCTGGTTTATGATTCTTTTCTTTCTCTTCTTACAGCAAAAACCTGGAGAAAAGCCTGTCCCAAGTAAGAAATTTTGCATTATGCCAAGTGTTTAAAAAATGAGAGCAAATCTAGATTCAGGTTCATTTCTAAGTCTTCACTAATTAATGGGTTATTCTGCCACCAAAATTGTCAAGAATTTTGCTATTGCCTGACTTTCAAGGAAAAAGATGAAAATTTACCTTTTTGCAGGTGCTACTAAAGGGCCATAATACATCCTGCCATAGTCATGAGCTTGCAGAAGACTCCTCTTTCTAAGAGCTGTAGTGCTAAGACACCTTTGATCTAGGGTATTCTTTGGAGGCCATGGGAGTGGCCAAAGCTGTTCTGTATCTTGACACCTTTGTCCTAGCAAGCTAGGGAAACCTCAAGGACTGCCTTTGTAGATTTGGACACAGGATTGGGGAGTAGAGCTAGTCCAGGGGTGCGCAAAATGTGGCCCACAGGTTGGATTTGGCCCACCAACTGATTGTATCTGGCCCTCAGGTGGGTGGCTGGCACTGTGGTGCTTCACATGGAGCTGAGCCCTGTCAGCTTCTGCCTGGGGCAGCCATTGATGCACTCCCACCCAGCCCCAGCCAGCAGGCACAGCTTGCCAGCAGTGCTGCTCTCTGTGTGGCTGCAGCTGCCTGGGTACTGCTTGGCTCCTTCTGTTTGTAGCAGCTCCTCCTCCTGCCCCTGCTGCTCTAGGAAGTAGGTAGGGCAAAGAAGTGATGACAGCCATGGTGATGTGTGCTGGGCATTACATGCCCAGCCAGGCATGGCTGCTTATTATGCTAGGCAGGCAGAGTGGGTGAAAGGCTGCTGGTAGCTGGAGCCCCACATGCTGGGGCAGGAGCCCACTGGTTGCGGCTTTACCCCCTCCTGGCTGCCTGGCATGCATTCCCTGTGTTACGTGCTGCCAAGCACCCAGATAGCTGTTGCAGCAACCCACCGGGAAACTGTGTGTGCTGGCTGAGGCCAGAGTAGTGCTGTCTGGCAAGTGTGGGGTGGCTGTTGGCAGGAGCATGGTGCAGGCTGTCCTGGGCGGGGCTCAGCCCCTTGAGAAGTGCCACGGGGGCAGCTGTGGGCCGGATGGGGGTTAGGGGTGGACAGTCAGCACCTGCACTGCACTGTGCTGCTTGGGCGAGCTCTGCAAGCACCCCCTGTCCCCATTCCCTCTCCCCACCCTTGGTTGGCTTCCAGTGTTGGCATTAGATTTATGACCCAGATACTTCGTTCTGGGCAAACCAGAACTCTCAGACTGACCATGACCTCTCCATTCGATAATAGACAAATTTTATTGATACATAGTGATAGCGGATAAGAATAATGCAAACAATTCTATGTCTACCAGTCCTAGAGCTGTCACAGATTCAAGGTACATCTGGCCAGTAAGTGAGCTTCACCCTGAGGTTCTTTCTTGAATATCAGATATCAGCAGCCTGGAGGTTGAAGGCTGAGGTGCCCTCCCCCTGTCCCCTACATAGGGTGGGTGAGATGGGCTGGTGGTATGCCCTCTGAGCTATTATTCAACATCTCTATATACACTACTCAAAATAACATGAATCAGGACAAAAACTATTTTTGAAATAAAATTTAAATATGGTAGATGTTTGCTTTTTAGTAGATAATGCTTTTTTATCTATAATGTGTTTAAATGATATCTTCTGAAAGATTTTGTGTGTGCAGCCCTTGACAGCTCACCAAACTTGGCCCATCAGCCAAAATAATTGCCAACCCCTGAGCTAGTCTCTAGTAACCTTGGAATAGGAGAGGTACAAATCACATATCTCCTGCCTCCACAGTCTCTGTACCAAGGCAGTCTTGCATCCAGCATATTAACTGCGCAAGTACTGCTTGACTTCTGTTCCATCAATTTCCCCCCTTTAAACAGCCTGAAAATATTTTGAAAGGACTGAAAATAATGTATTTGTGGTTTCTTTTTTTATTTCTTCAGTGGATCAGATCAAGAAGGAGCCAGAACCAGCCCCTGAAGCCATAAAGACAGAGGAGAAAGAGACTGCAAAGAATACCCAGCAGAGTTCTGGCACCAAAGGGCCCCCGGAGAAACGGATGAGACTCCAGTGAAGGGAGGGCCAGTTCCTTCCTAGGGGATTCAATACGTGGGGAAGAATTTGCAAGAGGCTCTTGCTGCCCTTTGTTTGTATTGGAACATTTTGGCAAAGACCATGAACTTTCAGGGTTTAAAGCCACTTATAACAGTTTATCTCTGTAGAAACCTATCATTAAAGCTGTTGATAGCAGGGCTTGAGCTATCCCAGGAGACGATCCGTTTCCACCTTCTTTCCATTTTGGATTTTACCTTCTGTGACTGAATTTCATAGTAGGTGTGTTTTGCAACTTCTTTATGATCCAACTTCTTTGTGCTTTCCCTTCTAGCTCCTTTTTCTATGTAAGAAAAGAGGAACTCTTATTTTTAAAAAATTGAGTTTTTGGCAAGCCCATCTTTGACTATTGTACCAGGAAGTACCAATGATTTTCATGCCCCTTCAATTCAGAGAATTTCAGCAGGATGACCAGTGCATAACAAAAACTTGGTTGATTCATTCTAAGCTATGCAGGGTTGCTTTAAAATTGTCAGTTAAAGTGTCAATAACAGTAAGAGAACAAGACTTTTGCAGAGTGATTCAGAAGGGATGGGCTATAATGGGTGGCATGAGA